GTGTATAATGATGTGATTGTGATGCTGTAATTCTGAGTGTTTTATGTGCTGCAGAACAGGAACCTGCTGTAAAACAGCAATTATGCTGAGTCAGGCTTGAGTTTTAATAATCTTTTCCTGTTAAATGAATCAAATCAAATCAAATCAAATCAAATCAAATATTTTCCAAGTTCTTTTCAGTTCCTTCAAACATTTTCTCAAAAATTTACTTTATCTACTTTCAGTTGTTTTTGCTAATATGCTAATTTAAACTTCTAGCTAGACTTTTTGTGTTTTAAGCTTCAAAGTAGCCTTCTGCTAATTTTGTGTTGTGGCTAACTTTTTGCTAATTTTATAATTTTAGCTCACATGTTGCTACACTGAGCGCGTAGCTTTAGCATTAGGTACATTAAGTTTTAACCCCTTTTATCTCTTTTGACTTCAAGCTAGCTTTTTGCTGCTTTAAGCTTATCTAAAGTTTAGCTACTTTAGGTTTTTGTCTAGACTTTCAACACACTTTGGTTATTCTTTGAAAATTGTTTACATTTAGAAAGCATTTTGTTTATTGTTGTTTGTTAGTGTAGATTTACTGTTTATTGTTGTTTATGGTTATTTATTGTTTATTTGTATTTCTTCTTTTGTTCATTATTTAGTTGTTAAATTGTATTTGTTGTGTTCTGATTAATCTTGTTTATTTTTGTTGTTGTTTGATGTGTATTGTTGTTGTTTACATGCAGGTAAAAAGGGCCTGGAGGCCTTCCAGAGGATGGAGCAGCTCTCAGCTCAGATGGAGGAGGAAGCCTACAGGAACCAAGAGACCCAAATCACCATTTTATAGGAACCAGACCTGGAACCGTGAGCCGAGCCGAGACTCAGAACCAGGTTTCTGTCTGATGGAGAGAAAAACCCACAAACCTGCAGCGACTTTCTTTGAATAAAAACTTTCTGATGTTTGACTGAAGCCGAACAGAGGAGAAGGAAGATCTGCTGACTCAGCTCTCTGGATGGATATTTTACTGACAACGTGAATTTCTTTGATCAAACACTTTTTGTTGTTTCTGCTGCAGAAACTTTGATTTAAGCTGAAGAGACTTTTGTTGTTGCAGCTTTAAAACATTTCTACAGGACTGTGATTTAAAGATAAAAACTGCTTCTAAATGAACAGATTTATTTTCAGTTGATGTGAAGTTTTCAGTTTTTCATCAATGAGTGGAAATAAAAAAACTCATTTGATGCATTTGAAGCCCTGAAGGACTGAATAAATCCAGAATAACCTCAGAGTGTGTCTGTGATGGAAACTCCAGACACAAATGTTTTAGTTTTAACTTGAAGAAAACAGAAACTTAAATAGTTCAAAACAAAGTTTTAGCATTTTAGATTGAAAGCTTAAAGACTTCATGTTTTATTTTAAAAGGTTCACTTTGGTTTTAGTTTAAAAGCTGAAACAATGAAAGTGGAAAAATATGGTGAGAACACAAGAACAGGTTGAAGTTCCTCCCACTTCCTGGCTCTAAAACCAGGAAATAGATGGTGACTTTTAGACGCTACAGAACGACACAAAGCGATCATGTGGAGCTTCAGATCAGACTGACGGAGTCCAGCTGCTGCTTGAAGCTGCTCACACTCCACACACTGAAGGTGAGTCGCAGCAAAAACACTCAGAGACACTTTGAGGGACGTTAGAGGAGGGAGGGGAGCCAGGACTGACTGGACTTTCTGTCTGCTGTGTTTTCAGCTTCACTCAGAGTCTAAATGGCTTCCAGACCAGAGGACCTCTGCTGTCYGGTCTGTCAGGAGGTCTTCAGAGRTCCTGTTCTTCTGTCATGTAGCCACAGCTTCTGTAAAGACTGTCTGAAGGACTGGTGGAGACAGAAACCAACAAGGGAGTGTCCTGTTTGTAAGACAAGATCTCCAACAGATGATCCACCCTGTAACCTGGCTCTGAAGAACCTCTGTGAGTCCTTCTTACAGGAGGAACATCAGAGATCTTCAGAGGCTCTCTGCAGTCTGCACTCTGAGAAACTCAGACTCTTCTGTCTGGACCATCAGGAACCAGTTTGTCTCGTCTGCAGAGATTCARARAAACACACCGACCACAGATTCAGACCTGTGGATGAAGCTGCTCAACAACACAGAGAGAAACTTCTGGAA